TTTTTGTCCTCAGAACCAAACTCATCATTGTCCTGGGAGGATTTTGGTGCCATTTACGATGCTCTGAACTTTAGCTATAATTACACCGAATTTTTCGTTGACCCCGCCACCCAGCCCTGTAGCTTTCACACCATCTCAGATACTGTGATGATCGTTGTCAGTGTCTTTTATGTCCTCATCTTTCTGATGGCACTTCCCGGTAACGTGGTGGTGGGGCTGGTGATCAGCTTAAGCAAGCAACCTTTGACCTCTTCTGACCTCTACCTCCTCAACCTGGCGATCGCTGACCTCTTGCTCGCCATCACCCTCCCGTTCTGGGCCACCTCGGTTACTCAGGGCTGGGTGTTTGGAGAAGCCATGTGCAAAATAGTCACAATCCTCCAAGAGGTGAGCTTCTACTCAACCATTCTCTTCTTGACTTGCATCAGTGTGGACCGGTACACTGTGATTGTGCGCGCCATGGAGGTCCGTAGGACTAATCGACAGCTGGTCAGCTGGGGAGTTTGTGCTGCCGTCTGGATTGTCGGAGCGCTTCTGTCCCTCCCGGGCTTGTTCAGCTCCACTTTCACCTCTTACAAATCCAGTCACGTACTGTGCGCTGAAAAATACGATCCCAGCACTGCTGATGAGTGGCGAATGGCCACCAGAATTCTCCGACACGCTTTGGGTTTTTTCATCCCCCTGACCATCATGCTGCCCTGCTACGGAATCACCATCCATCGCCTCCTTCACGTCCGTGGGGGGTTTCAACGCCAGCGAGCCATGAAAGTTATCATATTCGTGGTCCTCGCTTTCCTGCTTTGTTGGACGCCGTACCACCTAGTAGTGATAGTGGACACATTTTTCAGGGCAAAGATAGTAGAGTATCAGTGCCCAGCGAGGACAGCAGTGGACCAGGCCATGTTTGTCACCCAGAGTCTGGCCCTGCTTCACAGCTGTTTAAACCCAGTGCTGTACGCTTTCCTGGGAGAGAAATTCAGAAGGAGGCTGCGGCAGTTAATGACAAAGATAGGAATCATTGAAAGATCGTCAACGTCAAGAAGCAGCAGATCTTCGCTGTCATCGGAGCTCACGCCTACAATCATGTGAGAACATCAGAGACACTTGAAACTACTCAGATCAGCTGATCAGGGAGATTCAATGCAGGGATTAAAGTGTAGAAAACTGCTAGTTTTGATAATCCTCATATTTGTACTGCAGCTAATATTTGTCAAAGAAAGACTTCAAAATATTTTTAAATAATTTGTGTAATAATATTATTAGTGTACATACTTTTTAAGACTTTAGATTCTATTTTATTATTATTTAACTTTGATTTGTTGCACACACTTTTTTGTTTTTCTTTGAGGTTTGTTAAATTCGCCCGGTCATCTTCAATGACGATTCTGAAGAAAGAGAAAATAAAAGATGCCGCGTTTCAACACGACATCGCAGCATTACAACATTAACACTGAGCCCTTGCCAGTGAACTCTGAGTTGCAACAATTCGGCGGTAGATTGTGAAACATCAGTTCATCAATTGCATAACATGGAGTTATTTTTATAGAAATGCATTCACATTTTTGTATCTGTGTATGGTTGCCATCAACGTCTGTATATATGAGAAATGAATAAAACCATCCACTTTGCTCCCTTGTTTGTGATTGATATGACACCGACATGACAATGACAGAGTCATTGGAGGTTTATGTGTTCGTTGATCAGCTGAGACACAACAGTCAAATGATGGGAACCCCCCTCCCTCCACAAGGTTCCCACCATTGGGTTAATGGTGTGAACTTTGCTTGTATAGGGGAGAAAAAGCAGAAGTTTTGATGACTGCAGCCACAGAAATGCAGCCATATTTGAGATCGGAGGAGCGATATCTACTCCCTCTTGATTACAAAATGATCAAAAACATCTAACTTAC